CAGGAGGGATACTGCTCCAGTGGGGCCTTTCACAGGCACAGGTGAGTGGAGTCTCATGCTGGAAAACTCATTCCATGGCTCAAACTCAAAATCACAGCTGTTTTCAGCTGCTTGCCAAGGTCTAAAATGCTTCTGACCGAGGCCTGGAACCTCTGAAAATGTCTGAGGGACATTTTGAGTTCCGACACCATCCCGGCATTCTGTGACTGCCGGGAAGTGGCTGAACCCCCAGGTGGCCTCGGCCGCTTCTCGGTTAGGACTTAAAGGCCGTCCGAAGCAGCGGGGGAGTGGCGCCGTGCCCCCGGCCGCAGTGACAGCGCTGTCCCCCCGCTGTCCCCCCGCAGGTTCCCCGCGGCTCGCCCCGTCCCCGCTGCTGTTCGGGCTGCCGGCCGCGCTGGGCGGCGCCGCGCTGGGCGCGCTGCTGGCGGCGGGGCTGTGCTGGTGCCGGCGGCGGCGGAAGGACGGTGAGCAGCGACAAGCCCAGGGCAGCCCCAGGAGGAGGGGACGGGGCGGTGCGGGCGGGCGGGCGGTGGAGGGCCCGGTCCGAGGTGGCAGGCGGGGGAGAGTCCCATCCCCGTCTCTCCCATCACCATCATTCCCATCCCCATCACTCCCATCCCCATCACTCCCATCCCCGTCACTCCCATCCTCATCATTCCCATCCCCATCATTCCCATCCCCATCACTCCCATCCCCATCACTCCCATCCCCATCACTCCCATCCCCGTCACTCCCATCCCCGTCACTCCCATTGCCATCACTCCCATCCCCATCATTCCCATCCCCATCATTCCCATCCCCATCACCCCCATCACTCCCATCCCCATCACTCCATCCCAGGTTGATCCCTTTCAGAGAGAAACCCGTGGGAGGGTTATTCCCTAAACGTGGGAACACCTGGAAGCTGGGTTTTGTTCTGCAACGCATAAGTCATTGCATATCTTAGATTATTTTTCTTTTTTCTTTTCAGAACCTCTCTATGAAGTTGCTTTGTGAGTGCAATTTTCTACTTGGGGCACTAAGACTGAGGGCACTGTACTGGTATCTGCTCCTAAAAAGCCTCTTTGCTCAGTGAAAAGCAAAGACTTATTTGCCTTACAGGGGGAGGATCTGAACACCTTGGCAGTTTAGTTAGCAACATGAGGACCTGGTCACAGGAGATAGCCAGACTGTTCTTTAATATGGTAGAAAAACAGAAAGATACTCTGGGTGTTTTGTTGTGCCTGTCACATGCCATGGGATATCTGTTCTCTGTGGGAAATTCTTGCCATTATTTAGCAAAGCAAATTACAGAAATTTTCGGCTCTTCCTTTAAGTTCCCTCTACACTTGCCTTTCTCTATAACAAACATGTCTTAGTGCTTGGCCAAGTATTACTTTGCAAAGTAATCATATTAGCATATGATTATACAAACACATCTTCTGCCCTGAACTCAGTCTTCAACACCTTCATACTACTTTCCTACTCAGACACACACCATAGCCATCTGCAGCAATTTGTCCTAATTATTCCTGGTATTTACTTTCCAAAAGCTGGACTGTCTGCTGGTAACTTTAGAGTATAACATGATAATGCCATGAGAGTTTATAGTCCCAGTATTAACCAGTGCTTCTTTTTGTGCAATTCTTTTAACATCACTTTCTACTCTAGTCTTTCAGAGCCCCCCGTGTCCTCACTAGAATAGTATGAATTTTGCTGTTCAACAGATTATGTGGTGGATCTTGTCTCTAAGATGTAAATGAAATGCCATCTGCTTTAGTCGTCCCTCTCACTCGTGTCTCTCTTGTCCCAGCCGCAGCACTGCAGAGGTCGCCCTGCTGCACCCTGAGGTGGAAGTCCCTGTTAAGTGCCTACGGGAGGAAATGTGCTCTAGCAGTGAAAAGATCACCGTGAAAGACAAGAAGAGCCTTGAGTATGAGAACCTTGTGACTGCAATGGAATCTCAATATGAAACAGGAGGATTTTAATAGAGTACCAGCTTTTCCACATAAGCAGCCATGTGGGGCTGCAGGTACTGAATAGTGAACTTAGCAAAAGGAAACTCTTCCTCCTGTTGTCCCTCTGGTCTGCTTTCACTGCTTGCTTTAACCCAGAGGAGCTGCTAAACCTTTTGGTCTTTGGCAGACCAGGCCCTGCCTGCGGGAGCAGAACCCCTCAGCCAACAGTTTGTCTACCCACTTCCACAGAGCAAATTGTTTCTGAGCAACCTGAAGGACCAAGGGCAGGAAGACAGGATCTGAAGGAGTGAGAACATGAAATTCTTTAGCCTGTAAATCCAGGAGTAGTTTGTGCAATGCTGCTGGTCAGTAACACTAGCAAGGGATACTCTCCCATGTGTATTCCTGTTAAGACATCCCAGGCTGCAAGGAACCAGGATTGTGCTGGAAATGGAGAATCTATGGCTTTTGCAGATCAGCAAATACTGGTTATACATCCTGCCTGTGATTGAGTCTTTCTCTTTTTTTTGTTACAGCATGGTAAAAGGACCACAGAGGGGAGGTTGATGTCCCAGGAATGCCATTTTTGCTATCAGACTGGAGCTCAGTGCTCAGAGAGAGAGGGAATGAGTCTCTGAACTATCACCCACTAGTTTTCTCCTGGAAAACAAGAACTGATGTTGAAAGAAATGCTGGCATTTAATTTTTACAGTATGGGGGCCAGAAGCTTGATAAAATAGAGAGAAATTTGAGGCATTTGGATAATGATTGAGTAAGGAACCTCTCTGAATACAACAGATGGGCACCAATTTACTCTAGGGGATGTAAGTCAGCCTGTGTGATTACTAATGCTGGCCATGCAACATGGATGCAATTCTTGCCTTCAGCTGCAGTGTATTCCCTACAGTACACTGTCACTCAGCAGCCTGACTTGCCTCATCAATGTAAATTGTTTGTATCTTGCCTGTACTGCAGTGCTGCTGTCAGTTCTGACCTCTCTGTGCCTCCAGCCAGCATCCTTTTGTCCTGCAGGCTTGGCAGGGAAGAGGAGGGCTGCCTCCTGGCTTTAGCAAAACAAATTGGTAAGAATCACTGGCTTTTTTCTATCAGTGGGTGCAGTAAGGAAAGCATGGGGAAGCAGCTGAGCTCAAGTCACACACACCCTCCTGCCTGGCCCTGACTTCACCCACAAGGCTCATCTCTGCTGCCATGGATCATCTCTTTTTGGGTCAGCAGCCTAACAGCAGGGTCACTTTGCTGATTGTGGCCTGAGTGCTGTGTAGAGCCACTTTTACCTTTACACCCCTGAATTGCAGGATGTGAGGTGGGAAAGATCAGAGAAAAAAATCTCCTGCCTATATTGTGAGGGCTTCACTAGCACCGTGACAGCCATGCAGGGAGGGCTGTGCTGGGTGTCAGGCTGTCCTCCAGGGAGGCAAAGTCTGGATCCAGTCTGTCCCTGTGGGACTCGTGGCAGCCAGCCCTGAAGACCCCATGCTGCAGAAGCTGCTGGCATCAGCAGTTCCAGGGGTGGTGCAGAACAAAGGAGTTGAGGGGAATGGAGAGCTGCAGCCATGCTCACGCAGGGCAGTAGCATATGGTGCAAGGTCAGTGCTGGGTGGGAAGGGAACTGAAAATTTCTCAGCTTCCCCATCCTTACCTCAGCAAATCTAGGCCCAAAACACATCACATGGCACTCTCCTTCACCACCACACCCCACCCCCCCCCAAATGCAATCCTCATTAATTTTCAATTAGCTTTGTTTTTTCTGCAAGTTTTCTTGCTGTTAAAAGCTCTGAGCTCCAGGTTCACTCATTGACTATGTAACACCATGATTTTTCCATCTTGTGGTTCCTCCCAGCACTAATCTGCTCTGACAAGGTCTGGGCACCTTCCTTGGAAGACATGAATCCTGGGAGAAACTACAGAGGAAGAAGGCAACAGGAGTTAAGGAGAGCAGATGGACCAGCCCCCATGTACTCCCCTAGTTAGGGCAGCAACAGGACTTTGGTCACAAGTAGTAGAACAGTGGAAACATTAGAAGCCTGTCTCCAGTGCTGAGGTGTTTTTCCCTGGGTAACAAGTATGTGATTATTTCTTTATTTTACTTTTAGCATGTTTTCCATGTTTCTAGTAAAACCTCTTGGCAATGGAACATTTTTCTTCTGAAAGCCACAGAGGGTTCTGCTGTGTTGCATCAAACCAGAAAACTTCTCCTTTGCTTGCAATGTGCTCATCTGCTGAGCTCTGCTCCAGAACGGAAGGAAAAGCTCAGCTTCTGCCCTGAAAGGACACTGCCTCCCAAAAACACACCATCCTGAGTGGCCAGCAAAGTGTCATGAGACTCCCAATTCCCCTTGCAGTGCCTGTCCCATGGAGGGGACCTGATGGCTTTTACACTTGCTGGGTTTGTACCATACTTCAGGGCAGGGAGGTGGGAGATGAAGTCCCAGAGAAATTTGTCCCACTTTAATTTGATGCTTGTTCTTGTAAGAGAGGAAGGGGTTTACTTTCTTCCCCTTCACCCCAGTCATCTGGAAGGATCTGGAAGCTGAAAGGGAGAGTTATCTATAAAACAGAGGGCAAACTACTGGAAGCAAAAATTGGAAAGGCATGAGAAAACAAGAATGAAGGGCATAAACAAACCCTTGGCCAGCTGTGGTGCACAGGAGTTTGGGTATGTTGAAACCTTGAGGTTTGAGTGACAGCAAGGCTTGGGGCTGACATGGCTGTGTGCTTCATGGAGGATCCACTGGGGACAAAGCAAAGCTTGAAATCATAGACCTTGCTCTCTTTTGAAGATAACCTCCATGATAAAGATCAGGGTGATGTCTGTGAGTCATGAGGAGGTGCCTGTGAGAGACCATGGGAGTGTGAGTCATAAGGAGTAGGGCCATTTCTGGACCACTTGTGGACCGTGTTTGTCCAGAAGTGCACAATCAAGTCAAAAAGCAGAACACAATTTGCTTAGGCAATGATACACATTCATGGGTTCCAGCTTTGTAGAAACTCCAGCTTCTTCAAAATATTTGCTAAGAAATAGTTGCAACAAAAAGCCCAAAATTAAGTATTTCAGTTTATTAATATTCTCAAATATTGCAAAATTTGCTGGTGCTACTGTCCTAAAACTAGTCAGTGCAGTCTTGGGATTTTTTTTTATTTTTGAGTTTTCCATGTCAAATGCTTTCAGAGTTTGATTTGTCAAATTGGGCTCAATGCTGCCCCTCTCCTTCCCCTACCCTGACATATCTGAAATTCTACAAGTCAGTTACTGAAAACACTTAGCAATCATTACATCTTCAAGCAGGATGATTTAGAGGGAATTACTTTATTTAAATAGCAGAATAGGCAACCTTACTGTAAGTGCTGACTAGGAATAACCATGCAGAGACAAGAAGTCTTCTCCAAACAGCAAGACTCCCAGGAAGAGCAATGGACTCCATGGCCTAATTTAAAACAGATTGAGCAAACATATATTTTTCACAGGCTAATGGGCCAGAGGAACGTTAATAAGCATCCTCATTAGTTATATAAATATAAAAAATATTACTACATGTCCAAAGGCAAGATTCTTTATTATGGATAATGCTGCCTTTACCCATGATGTTGTGATTATAGTTGCCAGGATCCTTGTTAACTGAGCTTAATTCACAGCTGGCTAGTTAATGCTGTGTAAGAGAACAGCATTGTATTTGGATGCAAATAACAAGGACCCAGGGCACGACTCCCTGTCTTCACAGGATGGAGACGTTGCACCAGCACCACTTCTGCTCTGATTAAATGTTGGGACAGATACTTCCAAAACCAGGGTGGCAGGGAAACCTGGCAGCACAGCATCAGTCAGGTGTTCTGGAACATGGGATGGGCTGCTCAGCACCTCGGTAGGTCTCTGGAGAGGAAGGCTCCTGCCAGAGCAGGAGGAAAGGGCTGCACCATCGGCGTCGCGTTGCTCAGCAGTGCCTCACTTGGGGTATTTGACAAACTGACACTCTGCACACTGAGTGTCGGACTCAGCTTGTCAAATACACGCAGTGCCACACTGCAGCTCCTGGGGTCACAGAGTCCTCGCTGGACGCCAGCCTGAGCACACAGAGGGAAAAAAAGCACAGCAGCTGTTGTTAACTTCAGAGGCTTTTTCCAGTTAGCAAAATGCATCGTTTATCCTCCCATATTTCCCCCTCCTGCACTCTTTTTGGGGTGAGAGAGAACCACACCAGCAGACACTGCCTTCTGCTGAGGAAAATATCCACTCTATTAATTCAAAAGTCAGGAAAAGAAGTACAACTCTGCCCCTGGGCATACACATAGGGGTTGATCACTGACTCTGTTGGAGGCTCCTCCATTTGGCAGAATACTCTAGAGATTATGATGCTGAAAGAAAACCAAACTCCACATAGGGAAACAATGAACTTCTTCAGAAGAGAAGTGAAACTTTCTCTTCTGGTGACAAATGAACCCTTCTGCTTCATTTCCAGCAGAGAAAGCCTTTCCTGCAATAAGTGGAGCTTTCCACCTCCAAACGCTGGTATAATCCAGCCTTTAAGGGTGAACACCATATTCACACACACACACACACACTTCTTGCACAAATACAAAATATAGTGTTATTCCCTTGCTCTTTTAACAAGAGTGTACAGGAAATGCAGAAATGCATCTAAAGAAAACTAAATAAAAAAACATACACAAGTGAAGATGTTGTACAGTATTACTCTGTTCTGTGTCCTTCTCAGATGCTGACTGTTTAGAAATTCAGTCTAAAAACAGATTTGAAATTCTGATACTGTACAACCCTCCCAAAAAAATCCATCCTGGCTCCTAAGTTACACACTCATTCTGCACAAGACTGTTTATGTCATTCATACTCTCTGTGGACATGTGCAGATATAGCTGAGTTTTTAGCATGGTGTTTTAGCTTCCTTACCAGTCCACGGATTTTAATCTCACATGACCAGCATCACCAGTTTGTGAGAAAGTAGTCATGCTATTTTTAGTATCAAAATAAAGACTGAAATGTTTTTAATTATATTTTTTAAGGTAGACCATTAAAGCTGCTAAAGTAGAATTAAATTAAGTAAATTAACAGTATCATACAGTGGGCAATTCATCAACCATTTCTACCTCTAACTTCTGTGACTCTATTTTACACAGATGATCATAGAATTACATCTAATATCATATACAGAAACATACCTGGAAAGGAAAAGGTTTTTTCAGATGAAAGCATAGCAAATACAGGTTCTCCAAACCCAGAAGAGAGTGGAGTAAGACTTAAGAGTAAGATAACAGCTACAGCTTTAAAGGTAAAAATCTGTTTCTAGACTGAGTCACTACCCAGGCTTTGCAATTCTGGCATTCCCCTGTCTCCACCTTCGCCTTGGGTGCAATGTAGATAGTGACCAGTTCTGTGTTCTGCCTCCTCATTCCAAATGCAGTTCAGCCGTGGCAGATAAAACTATGTGGCAATGGATAAAATCAGCATATGTACTTCATGAAGATAAGAAAACTATGCTAATAAGCTGATTTAAGATCAGCCTGCTGGAGTATGTGTGGACCTGTGATCCTCCAAAGGACTCTAAGCCGTTCCAAAATGTGGGGAAGCCACTAGAGAAAGACTAAGCAGGCTCTTCAACATTATCAGTGACCAGATTGCCTTCAGCTTCAGTGCTGATGTCTAACAGATGTGGCCTTGGAGGGGGAAGAAGAAAACAAGCTTCTGCAATTGAAGCTTAAAATAATCCCCTGTTGTGGCTTTCTGAGGGGAAAAACAGCCACTTAAAATGTTGCTGTGAGGGACAGATAAGGGGTGGGGACACAATGGAGATAATTCTATCAGCAGATGGGAGTGAAACTTGCAACTCTACCTGTAGAGATCATATCTGATGTGAATGGATTTGTCATTGTCAGAGCTTCTGGTTTCAAGCTGAAGTGGGTAATCCCAAGTAAAAGCTCAGAGTTATAAAACTGAGCAATCTACTGCATACTCTGAAGGCCAAAGAAAAAGAATTTTTCTTGCCGCATTCTTAAGTCAGTCCCTTACCAAATTCACAAAAAGTCCCCTCCAGGCTGCACATCATTGCTCGGGTATTTTTACCGGGCTTCAGACTGTTTGGCAACTTGTAATGAAAATAAATGAAAAGTAAGATTATTGGATAGATTCAAGTCTAAACCTAGTAACAGCATGTATGGAAGTGTGACTGTGTGGTTTTCACATGCTGAGTAGCAGAGCCCTAGAATGCAGGCTGCAGACATTTCAAGGCATGCATTCATTATGCAGGTTTTGAACTGGAATCAAGGTCATCTCCGTACTCCCCTTGGTGAAACACAAATCATAGCCTGAATTGAAAGCGAGTCCCCATAGATCAGTGGCAACAGGGTGTGCTGAACCCCTGGCCAGCTGAAACCTTGGGTTGTACTTCTGCTAGGAGCTGGAAGCCTTTGTCATAACAGATACAAATAAGGCTTTGCTCATGGCAGGCTTCCACTGGATCCTGTCCTGCTCCATATTTGACCTTCCTATGCCCCCGGCCCTGCAGTGGACACTGCAAGGAGCTTTGCCAGACAAACGCTGGGTCACTTCAAAGCCCCCAGGAAGGGCCTGATAATGCCCCCATTACCTTCAGATCACCCTCACATGCTCCCACAGCCCCTGCATTCCCCTGAGGCCCGCAGCCCCTGTCCCTGCACACTGAACTCTGTCCCCATCCCCAGACACACAAAGAGGGGAAGAGGGTAAGTGCAGTATATTTTCATCTGCTCTACTGAAACCATAAGGACAGTGAGAAATGGAGCTGACGAGCACACTCACACACCACTGGGACAGGGTCTCTCCCTGGTTACACGCTCCTCCATCCCACACCCTCCCCTGTTCATTGAGATCTGCCTCATCTATGACTAATTTAGATCAAAATGCCAGCAGCTCACGGGCAGCATGTGTGCGTCTGTGAGCTGAGGGAGCGCACACACACATGTACCCCGCTGCTGAGTAGAGCTACATATCACTGCTAATCATAATTCACCTTCATCGAGGAACTGTGGTCCAGGGCACAGTGCTCCCTGGCTAGGACCAGTGGTATTCCATCCCCGAGCCTGCCTTCCCCAAGCACACCCACCCAAATGCCACCTCATCCCTGAAAGGAGGCACCAAAAAGCCCCTCTGGCTTAGGCAGACACAGCCCCAGCACCGAAGGGAGACAGCCCAAACCCAAGCAGGATTAAGACCCCTCAAAGTTCGAGGTGTAAAATGCGGCGGGAGGATAGCTTTCTTCATTACCAGGAATTGCCCCACACCTTTCAGTGTCCAACACCCACAGGCCTTTGGGACCTCCTGAGGGAAAAACAGGAGATGAACCCCAAAGGACACATCCTCCCCTGTCCCCAGCCCCCTTTCTGTGGGCAGGACAAGGACCTGGCACCTACCATGGTGGGGCCATCCGGAGCCGCGGCAGCCGGGCCGGGGCCGCAGCGGGGGTCGTGCAGGAGCGCGGTGGGGGCTCAGCCCGGGCACACAGCTCGGTTTTGAAGGGGCTGCTCCTCCTTCAAGAGGAAGCTGCGAATGGGGAAGATAAGGCTGAGGTTAGATAACAGGAAATGTCTGGATGTGAGTGACAACACGTCCAGGTTGTGAAAGCAGCTCTCCCCATCCTGCCGCGCGGCATGAGGCTCACGAGCGGGGTGAGGGCGAGTGTCCAGTGCGGCCACGACGCCGCCTCAGGGGCTGGGCACACAGGGCTGGGCACACAGGGCACACAGGGCTGGGCACACAGGGCACATAGGGCTGGGCACACAGGGCTGGGCACACAGGGCACACAGGGCCGGGCACACAGAGCTGCAGCTGAGCCAGCCACTGGCAGCACAGGGAAGGGCACCAGAAAAGCTGTGAGCAGCCACACCAACTGTCCCCAGTCCAGCCACCTCCAGCTCACACTGCTCAGGCTCCCCTGCCCTGCCCTGGCTGCTGAGGAGCCAGGCTGTGAAGGCACAAACAGAACAGAACAGAATGGCACAAACAAACCAGCTCTGGTTAGGGACACAGGCTCATGCCCAGGGTGGATTTCTTACCCTGATAGGAGTCTGAGTGAGGCACAAGGAAGCAGAGTTCTGTTCTCAGGGCTCCAGCCATTGCAGGAGGTTTTGTGCCAAAAGCTGCCCCACAAAGCTCACATCGCTTTTGAACTCATGGCTGTGCCTCAGCTCTTCTGCTCCCTCACACTCACATGAGCAGACAGGTTTTGCTTTCCCAGTTCCAGCACCTGACCAAAGAGCTGCTGCTGGTCCCTCCACACACCCTCTGATGTCCCCTGAGGTCCCCGTCCTGGTCTCTGGAGCATCCGCAATGCCTGCACAAAAAAGTAAACACCAGTGTATAGCTCAGAGTTGTAACCAAAGCAAGTCCCACAGTTTCTCCTCTCCTGTCCCCTCCCTGTATTACCCTCAGTATGAGGCAGTCTGAGATGGCACCTAGACTCTGTGCTGTTTTCATCCAGCCTGACCAGAAGCCCAGCTGGCCAGCACATCTGTGGGGACAGAGATCAGCAAGCTGCCTTTGCCCATGCCAGCAGCACAGGCTGGCCACACAAGACCAAAATGAATTCAAGCAAACCCAGGAATTTTAGAGGCATTCCTCATCTTTCTAGACCAGTATGATACACAGTATATTTTGTAAGGCCAGGATTCATTAAAAATACATTGCTTTGTGTATGCACCATCAGCTAGCCCTGATGGTGTGATGGACACTTGAGGGACATCTCTCTTGTAGGATTGGTTCTCCCACTCCTAGCATTCAGCTGCAGCTCTTCCTTTCCAGTTTTGCCTCCCCACTGCTGTCTGGCTCTTCAGCCAAACCCCACAGACACCCTCCCACAGTGCTGGTGGCTGGGCCTGCCCTAGTCCAGCAGCTTTCAGTTACATTATCAGCATGCCAGGACTGCAACCACAGACTTTATTTTTCTGCAGCTCTGATCAAACCCCTAATCTGGAAAGCACTTATTTATGCCTCCAAGTAACTGAGCCCCCTGGGAGGCTCAGTACCATGAGGTACTCCTAAGACCCTGTGCAGATACAGTAAGACCAGCCAGCCTGCAAACAGTCAAACCTATTCCCCATGCCTGAGGAAAAGTCAGATAATGAGGAATACAGTTACTGTCCAGTTCCTCTTTCATTTGCCTGTATTTTAAAATATACAGTAAAAGAGGAATGGACAGGTCTGGGTGGTTTTGTTCTGTTTTTACTTTGGTTTTAACTGGCTGCAAGAAATAGATCTGTTCATGTAGTCTATGTAGTTTTTTATGCAAGCCAGCATGAGCTTGAGTCCATGAAGGCTTTCTAGCCAACATCAGCTGGGCAGTGGGAGATCAAGCATCCTCCCCCAGCCAGGACACACTGCTTTGCCTGCACCTGACCCCAGCCCAGTCCTGTGGGCCCACAGTAACATCCAAGGTGGAAGCCTCTCAGGGAAGCTAATTTCCTCTATACTTTGCAGATGTCACCACACTGCCCTACTCTGTGCAACAACCTTGAAATCACACTCAGAATTTCCCAATGAAGGGACTGTTTTCAGTGCTCTTGCAGTGCATGCAGCTCTGTAGCTTGCTCTGGGAAGAGGAAGAAAGGAGGCAGAGAAGCTGTGGGCATCACCGACTGCCATCTAATAATGTTTCAGAGGCTTCGGCATACTGCTCCACAAATTTTCTTGGAAAATCACTTGAAAAAAAGTGATTCCGTTTGATTAGCGTGCAGCAAATACTCTCACACTTCAGCCTCAAATTCTTGTACTTTTTACCTGCCATAAAGTAGAACATGAAGAATTAGCAGGTTTGTACTGGACGTGGAAAAACTGGGACTCATTTAATTCCTGTGCTGCTCTGTGCAAATCAATCCACACAGACATGAAACAAAAAAGGACATGGAACTCTTGGGCAAGTGCAGAGCAGATCCACTAAGTTGATAAGAGGACTGGAGCACCACCTTGACAAAGACAGGGAAAAGAGTTTCGACTGTTCAGCCTGAAGAAGAGAACGTTTGTGAAGACCTTATAGCAACTTCAGTATTTGAAGAGCCTACAAATACCAGAAGCTACAGAGGGACTCTTCATCAGCAACTGTAGTGACAGGACAAGGAGTAATGTTTGTAAATTGAAAGAGAGGAAATTTAGACTGGATATTAGGAAGAAATTATTTACTGTAAAGGTGGGGAGATACTGGAACAAATCGCCCTGGGAAGTTGTGAAAGCCCCAACCCTGCTACAGTTCAAGGCCAGGCTGGAAAAGGCCTTGAGCGAGCTGGTCTAGTGGAAGGTGTCCCTGCTCATGGCAGGGGGATTTGGGACTAGATGATCTTTAAGGTTCCTTCCAACCCTTCACTTTCGATATTTCTGTGTAACAGACTGACTTAGCCAAGGCCAGGTGACTGGAGAATCTGGCCCCTGGTCAGCAGGCCTTCACAGCACACCAGGAGACTTTACATTGGGACAGCTCCTTGCAGAAACATCTTCAAAGCCAATATACTCTTTTCAATGAGGGAATTAAAGCTGTGTGTTACCAAGTCAGGCCCAACTCCAGTCATCAACGACTGTCTTCCATTTCAGTTTGCTCAGTCAATCCAGTTCTGCCAACCAGCAGCATCTAGAATTAAGTCCACCTTGTCAGCAAAACTCACTGGCCAGCCCGAGCTTTGAGTTGTGTGAACATCTTGTTCCTATTTCTATTCTTCACCTCATTCAGAAAGAAAAACAAATCAACACACCATGTGGACCTCCAAGTTTTGCTGTCAGTGCCATCCTCCCTTCCTGCCCTCTTTTTGGCAGGTGCACAGCAACAAGAGTCAGAGGCTGAGCTCCAGCAAACAGTGGATATTTCTGTTCATGGCTGATTATGTGTTTGGCATATTTGTTTTAGACCTCTGGTTAAGGGGGGAAAGAATGAGAAAGAGAGACAGAGGCGGGGTGGGGGGGAAGGCAGACACCAATCAAGAGGTTCAAAGCTGGTTTTCAGATGGACAATGAGAGATAAGAAAACCCCACTAACTGTCACAGCTACTGAATGACCCAGAAGACATCCTGTACCTCATACACTGTTAAGAATAGCATTCAAGGAAGAGTAGTAGTGTTGATATTCAATCCTTAAGAAGTAGAAAAATAGCACCAGCCACAGGTCAAGTAATTTTAGGTAGCTTCAATTTATTCTTATTTAATTTTAATGAGTACACTTGGATTTTTATATGAGTGGAGGAAAAACAGACCTCTTTTTTTTCCCCAGGTCTGGCATACCTATTCAGTTGAGACCAGTTCTCTATTCATAGGTGCTAAGCAACCTTGTCTAGAGATTTTGCTTCAAAATAAAGTTGTATTACAACTTAATTTAAATTTAATTTAAATTAATTCCCTAATTTCCTTAATTCTAGTGCATCATCGAAAAATAAAGCTATATTTTCCATATTTGCTCCATCAAAGGACTATCTTTTTTCTTGCAGTAATCTTATTACCTGGCTAGACAAAAAGTAAAGTCTTACTCTAGGTTTGAAAGATTGATAGACTTTATCTCTTAAACAAATAATGAGCTATGGAGCTGCTTTATTCACTGCTGGTATCAATACAGTTACTTCTGAGAACAGAATCCAGTCCTAGAATTCTAAAAAGACAACCATGGATTCATATATGTATTTATGTTTTTTCATTAAAAAAATTTAACAAGCATTTACGTTGTCAAAGACAGGATTGTGCCAATTCTTTTTCACAATGAAGGCAGAGAGCATCTGTGCTTCTGACACTCATCACTGTCTTTTACTGAACATGCAGTAACTAAATTTTTTTTTCTCTGCATATCTCACATATCAGCCAAGTTTCTCTGCTGCCACTTTCTGGAGATCCTACCAAATTGATATCTTGTGTACAAAGCACTGGTGATGGCTACAAGGCAAGGTAGGCAAAGGCCTGTGGTGAACCTGCACGCTCCTGCTCTGCAGCCACAGTCTGTGCCATGCCAGGCTCTCTCCCACATGGGAATACAGCAGGAAAAGCTGCACTGGTGCTCTCAGACTGCCCTTCCAGTGCTCAAGGGGCCAGTGCTGGCAAAAGCAATTGGCAGTCAGGAAAGAAAACCACATCAGGCCTTCCGTGTTTGCAGATAGCACTTCCAAAGGCTCCTAAGTCACAGATAACTGGAAACTGGGACTGCAGCTGGAGAGATACCAGTTACCCAGTTTTTCCATTCTTCTTTTAGCATCTGCTGCTGGTGAACCCCAAGTGATAGGGTGCTGGGTCGGCCAGCCCCTACTCTGATCCTGGGCACATGTTCTGCTCTTCAAGCCTCAGAACCAACTGCAGGAACAGCATGGGACCAGCACACCAAGAACACCTAAATGCCAAGCTGATGTGTTTATCTGTCCTGCACTCCACAGGCAACTGCTGCCTTGTCACAGAGATGTCCCTTGAGCAATGACCACTGTCAGACCCTTCAGTCTGGCTTCTGGGAGGAGGCAGATGTGCAGTTATCGCTCACCCCCCTTTTAGAGCACAGAGGGCATTTCAACACCGCTGCCTCTGCTTGCAGAGTCACTGTCAAAGGGAAGTACGTGACCGCGGGG